AATTTTAAAAATTAAAAAAACTTAATGTGTGTAATCATGGAATAAGATAACTTTCTATTACATTTCTTTTCTTCTGTAGCAATAGTTGAAAGGTGTTATCACGCACTATATATTTAATTGTATAATAATAATCTAGTTTTTTTATAATTGATTTGATATTTAAAATTTCTTTTTACAATGGATACACTCGCTATTACGATGTTATAATGATACTTTCCTTTGAACAGAGGCACGAGAAGATTGTATGACGCCGCTACAAAGAATTTAACATCGCAAAAATCGCATTTTGTTACACGAAGACGCTCGAGTATCGTTTACAATCGAAAAATCCGAGCAAAGTCAGCGAGGGATGCAGGAAGAAGGAAAGAGAGAAGAGGTAGATCGAGCAGGCTGATCGTATAATTTTGCACATTGTAAAGCTCAGCCCGTGACGGGGTGGGCTCGATAGAGAAAAAGGGAGTAGAATTACCTTTCGTAGCTGAATAGAGCGCACCTACGTAGGGGCACGTAGGACGAGTTGTATAGCGGAACGTAAGTGCGCCTCGAATCAGGATCGGATGATTGAATAAGTTTTTTTATAATACAGTCCTCGTGTACCGTTAAAATGGGATATTTCTCATAATTTATTTTGAAGCTTATTTTTCCACAAACTTTCCTTTTCTCAATCAAACAATTTTTATTTTTATTATCATTTTATTAAAATATCTTTTAGAAAAAAAGAACGTTCTATTTATTATATGTTAAGAAAGATAATATTAAAAATAAATCTAAACGTATGTTAGGTTTGTTATAATGTCTGAAGCAATTCTGATTGCATTGCACAAAGATTATTAAACCTGCGGCAGAACGGAAGTGCAGGCCGTTCTTCAAAGAAAAACACCGTTGTACGAATTTATGACTTCGAAATCCGCCCCTGCAACGGAGCATGGTGCGTAACAGAAGTGCGTAGGCATTGGTCGTGCACACGTGCAGGGGCACGCGTCGTGACAAAGGGCCCGCACTGATCCACCCCCTTTCTCTGCCTCATTTTACTCCCCGCCGCCACCATCCCTCCTCTTCATCCGCCATCCCTCTTGCCACGCATTCTCTATGCGACCCGACGTGACTGCTCGGTCGCTTAACGCGGCCTAGGTTGAAAGCGTCCGTCTTGTTATTAGCGTTTTTTAAGCACGTGGGCCCCCGCGGCTCCGCATCGGGCTCTGCGAATTTTACGCATAACGCATGTTAAAGTTCCGCTCGCGCTGTGACTTGGCCGGGGAGGCATCGGGGGACTTATTGCTTTTACCCCATCGCACCGGAGTACCAGGCGATGACGATCACGTACACCGAATGAACCTACCTTGACGCTTCACGATCAATACTCGAATGTAAGCAATAACATTTATACTTTACGCGCGATGAAATTTTTTAGTAATTTAAGACAAGAGAAAAATAATGTGAATTTCCATAAAAGTGATAGAATAGAATTCCCAGATTCTAAGCGAAAGAGAATTTAAATTTAAATGTAAAGAAGAAAGAGGAGGATCACGTTCCGTAACGATAAATGCGATCATACATAGGCATTGTCATTGTCACAATAATGCTGCCATCAATAACCTCGATGGTTTATCCCCTAAACAATAATCACAGGAAATTAGCAAAACCCGTTGGAGGAAGGGAGAGGGGTACCGTATAGCCCGTTCATATAGCTAAGCTGCGATGACGCGCGCGCGCAAGAGAAAACGAGGAGGCCGCGGTCGAATTTATAACGGAATATATAGAGCGCCGACCCTTCTCGCGAGAAAGAAGCCTTAATCTCCTCCTGGTGCCATGGGGCATCGAGGGGGCGAACGGGCGCGCACGCCTCGGAGTCCCACGAGAAGTGCTCGGGGATTATGCGCGAGAACGGGGGACCGCCGAGGGGCCCTACCGAGTCCCTCCATCCTCTTCTCCTCCCCTCCCCCCCCCCTCTCTCTCTACCCGTCTTCCATTGTTGGGGATCATTCCCGACGCATAATGCCCCCGGATGAGCCTGTAAACTTATCAGTCGGACGGTCGCGAGCCGGCATCGATGCTCGATAATATCGAAACACCATGATATACAGCCTAACGGGAAATGGGTCGAGCATGGGGTGGAAGAAGGGGGGGGGGAAGGAGAGAGAGAGGATGATATCCCGATCGCGCGGCCTCGTCTGGATACGTAAATCAGGATCAGGGATCACTTTGTGCTCTCGGTGGCCGGCGCGTAAGGAATTCTCGCCTTTGAAAAGATTTGATTCCATTTGCGCGCGACCACCGGATCAACATATCTGGAGACTTTACGGGTGTCCCCGTCGAGCTTCTGCGAGAAAACGCGCGCGCGAGATTTCGGCTCCATCCTTTATTCGCTTTTAAACGCCAAGCGCTCAGATATATACGTTATCTTCGCAATGATAATCGTAAAATTACGTACGTTTAACGCGCGATAAGACACGATGCTTAAGTGCCCCAGCCATGCAATGTTCGGATACACGCGTGTAAGCCGCTTTATATTCCTCGCGTGACGTTCTCGTATATATAAGATTTGGGTGTAACGTCAAATAAACACAGATTATATATGAGTCGACATTACGCGAGAAAGGCAAATTTACGCATCAAATTCTTTACATTTGTTCTTTTTATTTTATCTGAGCGGGAAATATTTCATCATATCGTTAATGAACATCATGTGCGAGGATTGAGCCTCTTCCCGTTTTCAATGAAAATAATGAGGTAGTGAGAAGGACGCAGTTTCACCCGAGAAATATTTTATAAATCATCGTCTTAACCGCTGTTAAGGACTAACCAGTGTCACGTGCAAGCCATTCGCACACGAATTGCGTTAATCCCCTATGGGAAGAACGGATCTTTCTTGCATGTGGGAAAACCACAGTGCTGTATCGCGTTATTCCCATAAACAGATCTTTTCCAGCTGTTGAAAAATCATTACTTCTATCGCATAGAATCGCTAACTAATTTAAAATATATTACTCAACGTTCATAAAATATAATATTAACTCTTAGATTTATATGAGATAATATTTTCTCGAATTGTAAACGCTTTTATTATAATTTAATAAATAATCATTCGTTTTAAATCTAAAAATATAATTTTGCGCGAAGAGAGGGAGAGAGAATGGTTTGTATAGAGTCCCAGTTTATATAACATATATTATAAATTCGGGTCATAACGTTTTAGTCGTATGGTCGGTTTAGCCTCTCAGGTTTAGGTGCACAAATGCAGACTAGATCTAGGTCGAATCCCTGCGATCCCTTCGGCATAATCAGTACAGCTCCAGGCATAAAAAGCTCTTTTTATCTCGCGGATGCTTCTTAAATTATAATTTACGTATGCGCATAAAAACCGCAGTTAAGTACTAATCTAATTCAAATATTCAGTCCACAATCCAGTTATTTTGCATGGTAACTAGAGCAAATTTTATTTTATTTAATGATAAATCTTAGTGTTTTTTTTTAACATACACAATTTTGCCCCTTTTCTCTTTAATTCATGGATTAAATGTTTCATGGATGAAAATAAATTGTTAACAAAAGCAAGAATTTTAAAGCGAAAGATCTTATGAAATATATATGTGGAAAGCTTATGTAACGGAACTTTGGCTAGTAAGCGATTTTATAGAACCGGTCTTTTTTTATTTTCCCGAACAAAAATCATATTTCGCATTCGGTATGTCACTCTCACGAGCGTACCGCCCCGAAACACGAAACTTCCGCGGCACGACGAGCGTATGTGGCTCTTCCTGTCTTTTACCACAAGTAGAAAATATGCCAGGTGGAATTAAATTTTTTTTTTTTTTTAGAAATTTCTTCTTTTTTAAATGATTACTAAATACAATTCTTGCGATGTTGTAAATAAAAATATATAAAGTCATTAAATGCCATAAAAAGCTACAAAAAATCTTAATTTTTATCGTGCAGTTTATGATATATTAAAAAATAAAAAATATTTTATATAGAGAGAGAGAGAGAGTTTCTCATATAGAGTAGCACACATAACGCACATGCATATGCACTTTCTCATGATGAATTCTATCGCGTACAACGGCGAAGATTAAAGCAGCCGGTTCTGATAGGATAAAAATGCAAATTGCGAAACGCATTTTTTAGTTGGCATGAATATCTAGCACGAGGATCTCTACGTTATCTTTGATCACCAGATAATCACTATATCTCCGTATAAGTAATTTTTTTATTAAACAGCGGAGAGAGATTTATGTACCGTACAAATATTAGGCAGTTTAATACTTGCCGATTATAAAGAGAGAGTAATGGAATACAATATTTTGGTAGAATATGCCGGATGGGAACAGACGCTAAGCAGATCAACAATATAAATATGACTGTATTTAGTAATATTATTTCCGAGCATGCGTATCGACGCGCGTACGGCAATAAGGGCCAAAGTACATAATAACATAGCCCTCTTTAATCGTGTATCGACCGCCGTTCAATTACGCATTAGATTACCGGGATCACTTTGTCTTTCGTAGAGTCTTCCGCGGCGGCGGACGCCACCGGTACGAGAAGCGGTAATTGCGTGCAAGGTACGCACGCACGCACGCATCAATGTGCGCCACGCATTTATTGCTGGGCCCTAGAGACCCACACACGTAGCCGTACACAACCGGCACACGCGCGCTCTCTCTCCCCCGGCATATGGCGCGTACGGTCCCCCTTTTTCAGTTCCGGGGGAGAAGAAACGAGGGGCTGCGGCGCGTGCTGAAAATCCCCACCATCTTTCACTCTTTCTCTTTCTCTTTCCTTCTCTCTTCTCTATTCTCTTCTCTTCTCTTCCCTTTCGTGGATTCTATGGCCCACGGTTTCGCTCCCTCTCGTGTACAGGCGCCCTTCTCCCTTCTTACTCCAACCCCGCGATCTCTCCAACTCGGCGCGGTGCGGCAAGATGCTAACCCATCTATCGATGTCCGCGCTCATTCTCGACGCGGACGCCATGTAGTGCATAGGACGGAAGTATGATTATCAAACAGAGGTGCTGATCATACGTGATCATGAGAATCTCTTCCTTCCAGCGACAGTGAACGCGAGTCTCCGGAAGCCTTTGTATTCTCGCCAACATATTCTCGAATGTATTTCCGTTTTGGAAATCAACGCGGAATTGTCCAGTGGTTGTGTAAATTACATGATTCATTTGAATCGTTGTTGGTTGCAAGTGAAGGAAAGTGAAGAGTGAAAAGTCTTCAGTCGAATTGAGTGCGTCGCAAAGTTTCGATGGAATCTTCTTTATTTCGTTTGCAAATATTGAATATTTGAAACGTTTTCTTGTAGAGAAAATATAGCAAACGTTAATTGTGTCTTGTGCGTATCATTGACAATTTAATACATAAGACATATTGATTCTGACAACCTTGCATCGATATTAAAGCCGCGTCAATTGCGGTTATCATTCGTCTAAAAAGGGCACTGGATCAATATTTAATCACTAATTGATTGAAAGTCCACCGTGTGTTCAACATAAACGATTTGGTGATTGTTGTTAGTGAAATCGAGTTTGAAATCAAAACTTCAATTATGATTTGATCATATATGCAACATGCAGTACGTAGATCAACGTTTTAATGAGGAACAAAAGTGCATCAATCGATAGCAATAAAATATCGATAAAAAACATAATTATGAATAAATGATAAATACGGATAAATTATTAAAACCTAAGTGCCTTTAATCTCTAGTGAGATTTCTCTCGTTTTTTAATAATGTTATTATTGTATATATAAAAGACATAACGTTAAATGTGTGTATTGTTGGAGAATTTCACCTTTATGGCAAACATCATACTAGTTTCATCGAGAGTCACAGTTTAATCTTTGGTGAGTATTGAATTGTGGAAAAAAATATACGTTAAAAATATAAAAATATTTAAAAACATAAAAAAAAAATATTTTAAAAGTATAAAAATATAATATTATTTTCTTATTTGTAAATAGAAAATATATTACGGCAGAGTAATATGCATTATATAAATAGATTTTTTCCAGATAGAAATAAATTAGATTTTTATAATTAAGACGTGGCAGTTTTATAATTAAGTATAACGACAGAATCTGCCGTTTTAAGTCATATCTAAAAAATTATTATTATTCTTCAATCCGGCGAAATTAATCGGGAGCAAACGTGCACGGAATCGGATTCGCTTCTTGATATTATTAGATAGAAAAAGCGGTCTCCTTTTATTAAAAGTAAAGCTGATAATTTGCGTAAAAAAGATAGATTTGTTTTGAAAGATTTGTATAATAGTTTCCGAGGAGTCGACGACCGTCGCGGAGAAGAATAGACGGTGACCTCATGCTTTACTTAAGCCATGGCGACCGGCAGCGAGACAATTAGATCTCGGTTCGAGTCATCAGCTTCGTAGGTTAATAAAGAAAGAAGCTATGGACGTGTTAGAGAGGCATTTGTGCAAAAACCTGTAGCAAAATATATTTACACATTTCTATCTTGAATCTAACAATTTATCTAAGAAATAGCTAATCGTCATTCTTAGAAAAACAAAAAAATATATAAAAATCTCTTTATGTGAAGTATATATAAATTATATACTACTAAATATATATATTATTAATTCTAAACAAATAATGAAGAACATTATTAACCACAGTTTGAAAATGATAATTAAGTCTTTACAAGAAAGATTTATAATTGCTTTTTGCGAGCGACAGATTTGACCCAGATTCGAATTAATACCCAATCAAGCCGTTTTCCAACGGTTTGCTTCGATGATCGCCTTTGTCTCCGTCAAGAGAGTACGTTTTATTTATAAGTCCGACAATTAGGTTCGTCCTCGACAAGCATTAGTGTCGTTTATCGACCGGTCAACTCCGCTGTCTTAACGCAACTCATTTAATCAACGTTATTGTGGAAACGGCACAATAATATACGAAACACGATATTATTTGCAAAATCTATTTAACAAAATATTCTAAACTAGATGTAAGATATGTTAATTTATGAATTATATCCGCACTTTTATTACAATAAAATTATTTGGCTTTGTTATATTTATTTATGACTTAATCAATTTAATTATAAAGATTTCTAATAGTATTTCCGATAGTATTAATTGCTTACGAACTGCTCAAAATATAAAAAATCTTACGAAAAAAAATTATTTTTTTCAGGTTGGAGCAAAATTGCGTGGCGTTTCGATGGTAGTTTACACGTTTCAAGAGTGATCCTGTAAACCGGAAATAAACGAATTGTGTCATTAAAAAGCATTCGCTGAAACAAACATAATGGCGACTATGGGGGTAACAGTGTTCTGCAATAGAGTACAAATAAATGGCAACGATCAGGAGCAATTGATGTTGCTGCGGACGCTGCAAGATAACGAGAACAATATTATCGGTAATCAATCGACGCTGATTGTTCCGAAAAACAACAGCGGCGGTAACGCAGCGAGTTCCGCGACCGTGTTACCCCCCTACGACCCTTCCAGATTGAAGAAGCACGGCAAGAACGGTCAACCGCCGCCTGTTGCCGTTGCTCGAAGAAATGCCAGGGAGAGAAATCGCGTGAAACAAGTAAACAACGGATTTGCCACGTTGAGACAACACATTCCGAGCCATATTGCCGCAGGTTACGGAGACAGGGGTAAGAAGTTATCCAAGGTGGAGACTCTTAGGATGGCCGTCGAATACATCAGAGGCCTTCAGAGGCTCCTGGCTGAAGCTGACGGCGTCGAATACGATTCCAAGATCTCTACCGGTGCACAGTGTGCACCTTCTCCAACTAGTAGCGTTATCTCTTCGAGTCATAACGGCTCCGGCGAGAGACTCATTCTCGAGGACGACATGTTAGCCGCGGAAGACGACGAAGCGGAACAACTGGATGAAGAAGAGGACGGAAGTAATGTCAAATCGAAAATTACGTTGTCCAGGTAAATTCTGGATATTGAATTGTAGCAATAATTGAAAAGAGACAACACGATATATTCTAAAAATAAAAGAAAATGCACATTTAAAGCTTGTATTTTATTTTATATTTATATATAGAAAGAATTATCGATAAGATATAAGATTTTTACTTTTATGATCTCTTTCCAATTATCGCTATTGTATGTATATAATTGATACACACATATTTGAATGCAAAAACTAAGGAGCGATTTTTTTAGTCATATTATAACTGTTTTCTCCCGACAGATTATCACCTAATCGACCTACCATCTCATCCCCACGTGACTATTACGCATCTTCAGCAGGCGATGAGGAAAATTTGGAGCCACGAAACGTAACCGGTGGACAGAATTTCTCCAGGCTATCGCCAAATTCTGTGGCCTCGCCGCCGTCGGAATATTATGCACAGAACGAGGAGAATCTCGAGCCACAGATTCTTTCACCGTACAGCGGCGCCGGGGATAGCGAGGAGGGTGCGACGACTGTATACGCGACCAGTCCGGAGACCTTCGCCGGGGCCCTTTACTACAAGCAAGAGATCACCGAGACGGGGGAATTCATGGACGTCGTCAGCTGGTGGGAACAGGAACAGGGTAGACTTGTTCATCAACAGCACACGCAACGGCTGACGCACGTGTAACCATAGGTGAGTTCCCGACGAGTTTATCTGTATTCAAGTCTGGAGATGACAAGCCTGTCGACTCATGGATAAATTACATGAATTTAAATAATTTAATAATTATTTCTACGATATACGTATAGTTTCTTATTTCGTTAAATAAAAAATCATGTTAATTAACAGAATATATTTTGTAAAATGCTATTTGCTTCTTTATTTTTGTCGTCACGTACTAGTAAATAGATGAATAATTATTTAACGGGGAATAAAGATCGCTCGATTTTAATGCAAAGATGACTGTAGGCAAAAGTTCTTTTGCAAGAAAACGACAAACGGGGTAAGGGTGGAAGTGTCGGTTCGTGCGGGTATCGCGGGTTGCGTTTCTGATGCATCCAGGATGCACACGTGATACCCGCGTCGCGGAAGCACCGTCAAGTGGAAACTCGTGTTCGACGCTTCGTCTCGAACACGTGCTACGTCGGGCCCGAAAATAAACTTTACGCACCGAAACCACTTTGCGAAGTACGTGCCGACGTGACACTTGGATGTCACGGTCTCTTCTGTGCTTGCTGTCACATCGAGAACCCTCTCGTTCAAAGAGACTTTATCAGCGCAGAACATATCTTTCTGATAAGAAACTCTCGTGCGCGTATAATACCAGATTTTAATAATATTTTTAAAAGTTTGTTTTCTCTCTCTATAATTTATCATCTTTATACATAATCATATCTTTATTCGTTAACCTTATTATTATATAATAATAAGAAACAAGAATTTTTTATATATTATTTTTTCAAAATAATTACAATAAAATAATAATTTATGTTTGACTCGCAATCTTAAATTTTTCTCTTTAGTTAAAATTCAAGTTTGACGCATTTTAACTTTTGCAATCGCGTAACTGCAATTTCGTTTTTTCGATTATATTTGTGCATCGAAGATCACAGGAACTTAAAGTCTATAGCATGCAATTTGGGTGACACATGGCCGGTGGTGGATCATGGTGTGTCATCTTAAAAGCGTGCAACCACGAACGGAAGTGGCGGAACGTCTAGCCATATGTTGGATATTCTCCTTGAAATATCTCGCAGCCAGACCTTCCTCAATCTTCTTGGTTTCCAATTGCTGGTCATCAATTCCCATGGATATCTAGCACATGTTCGTTTCACGATCGAGTTACTTCTTTTAAATCCGTTTAAGGGAATACTTTAAATACAAGATTGATATTCCTACAAATATGTATATAAAATGGCTTATATACTTATTTCTTTCGATATTTCGGCAAAAATCCGCTAGAATTATAACAGTTTATTATAAGAGAATTATGAAATTTGTATATATTACACATTTTATTTGTTATATTATGCTTAAAAATACATAGATAAATTTATAAAAAAAATAATTTATTTAGAATTCTTCCTTTTTACTCTCTAATATTTTATTTATAAGATTTCTTAATATTTTTAATAGTTTCTGTGTATGATAAATTTTAGATCGGCATGTTTCTTAGAATCGATAAAGTCCATATAACCGTAGCGATGACCGATGCATTCGATCTTGGGGTGCGCGATTGCGACGGGAAAAAAATCAGCTGGCGAGCGGGTGCCAGTCGCTGTGCCACAAATAGAAGTCGCGGTTTCCTTAGAAACGTGCGTAGCGCCCACGTGTGCCGTATGTACACGCAGGCCGACGAATAGTGTTGAATGCACATACGTTAAGCGACCAGAAGCTGCATTGCCGCCGCGTTGCTGACATATGCGTGGCACGACGATTTAAAAAAGTCGAGTCACAGCCGTAAAACTCTTCACGTGGTATTTTTGCTCTCAAAGTTATTATATTCCGCGCGTCATCTTTATTCTCAGAATTTTTTTTTTT